AAAAAAAAAAAAAAAGGCCAGACACAGTGGCTCATGCCTGTTAGCCTAGCACTTTAGGAGGCCAAGGCAGGTAGATAGCTTGGGCTCACAGGTTCAAGACCAGCCTGAGCAAAAAGCAAGAGCACATCTCTATTAAAAATAAAAAAACTGAGGCAAGAAGATTGCTTGAGCCCAAGAGTTTCTGTGAGCTATGATGACATGACACTCTATCCAGGGCAACAGCTTGGGAGTCTGTCTCAAAAAAATAAAAGAAAGGAAGGAAGAAAGAGAAGAAAGAAAGAGAAGGGAGGGAGGGAGGAAAAGAAAGAAAATCAAAATATGGTCTAGCTGCGATGGCTCATGCCTATAATCCTAGCACTATGAGAGGTGGAGGTGGGTGGATCACTTGAGCTGAGGAGTTTGAGACCAGTCTGAGCAAGAGGAAGACCCTATCTAAAAAACAGAAAAACTAGCTGGGCATAGTGGCATATGCCTATATGTAGTCCCAGTTACTAGGGAGGCTAAAGCAAGAGAATTACTTTAGCTCAAGAGTCTGAGGTTGCTGTAAGGAATGATGACACCATGGCACTCTACCCAGGGAGACTGAGTGAGACTGTCTCAAAAAAAAAAAAAAGAAAAGAAAGAAATGTAAAATCCACATGGGCAGAACAAATGAAGCCCTCCCAGCAACATCAATAAGGCAAGCAAGTTGAAACTTGCATGAATGAATCAGAAGTTCAACTATCTCTTGGAAGTAAAATAATGGACCATAACCTAGTCTGTCTCAAAACTTTCACAGCACCCCCATGTACAAAATTGGGTAAATGCTTATATACAGAAAAGCAAACAGACCTTTTCCTCAGACTAAAATCAACTTAAATACAACCCTAAATGTAAGAGCTTACACTATAAAATTTCTAGAAGAAAACAGCAGAAAATCCTTGTGATCTTAGGTTAGGCAAATAGTTCATCAATAAAACAGCAAAATCATAATCTACAAAAGGAAAAAAATAATTGGATTTCATCAAAATTAAAAACTTGCATTTCAAAAGAAACCATCAAGAAAATGAAAAGACAATCACACTAGAAGATAGTTGCAAATTATACACTGGATCAAAGATGTGTATCTAAAATATATAAAGGATATTTACAAGCCTATAACATGACAACCCAACTAAAAATGGACAATGGGCCAGGGGCAGTGGCTTATGCCTGTAATCCTAACACTCTGGAAGGCTGAGGTAGGTGAATCACTTGAGCTCAGAAGTTCCAGAGCAGCCTAAGCAAGAGAAACCATCTCTACTAAAAATGAAAAACTGAGGCAAGAGGATCACTTGAGCCCAAGAGTTTGAGGTTGCTGTGAGCTATGATTTGACATCGCTTCTACCAAGGGCAATAAAGAGAGACTCTGTCTCCAAAAAAAACAGGCAATGGAAGTGAATAGATTTTCACTAAAGATATATGAATGGTGTATATGCATATGAAAAGTTGTTCAACAGCATGAGTTACTAGGAAAATGCAAACTAAAACCCCAATGAGACACCACAACACATCAACTACAACAGTCATACCGAAAGGACACACAATACCAAGGGTTGGCAAGGATATGAAACTGGAACCTGTGAAATGATATAGCTACTTGGGAAAACAGTTTGGAAGTTTCTTTTTTTTGAGACAGAGCCTCAAGCTGTCACCCTGGATAGAGTGCCATGGCATCACAGCTCACAGCAACCTCCAAATCCTAGGCTTAAGCAATTCTCTTGCCTCAGCCTCCCAAGTAGCTGGGACTACAGGTGCCCACCACAATGCCCGGCTATTTTTTGGTTGTAGTTGTCATTGCTATTTGGCAGGCCCGGGCTGGATTCGAACACGCCAGCTCAGGCGTATGTGGCTGGCACCTTAGCCACTTGAGCCACAGGTGCCAAGCCCAGTTTGGAAGTTTCTTTAAAAGTTTCTTTAACCATATGACCCAGTAATTTCATAACTAGGTTTCTACCCAATAGAAGTGAAAGCATATGTCCACATAAAAACATATTTGTAAATGTTCACAGCATCATTACTCATAAGAGCAAAATATGGAAACAAAACGTAATCTACCCACATAATGTAATAGGACTCAGCAAAAATAAAAAGGAAAAAAATCCTTGACACACACAACATGGATGAACCTCAAAAACACGCGAAACAAAAGCATGATGCAGAAGACTAGAGTGTCATTACTCTATTTGCAGAAAATATCCACCAACTACAAATCTATAAAGACAGAAAGCAAATCAGTGGTTCCCTGGGGCTACAGGAAGAAGTAGGCACTAACTGTAAATGAACAGAAGGGAGTGTTTTGGGGCAATGGGAATGTTCTAAAGCTGGTGTGTGATCATCACACACCCCCACATGTTCACTAAAACTACTGCACTATATACTTCAGTGGGTGCATTTGATGGCATATAAATTATACCTAAATAACAAAGCTGGTTTAAAAAAAATGATTAACATTGGCTCGGTGCCCGTAGCACAGTGGTTATGTTGCTGGTTTTAGTGCCAAGCCACATTCACCGAGGCTGGTGGGTTTGTGCCTGGCCCGGGCCAGCTAAACAACAATGACAACTGCAGCAAGAAAACAGCCAGGAGTTCTGGCAGGCACCTGTAGTCCCGGCTACTTGGGAGGCTGAGGCAAGAGAATCCCTTAAGCTCCAGAATTAGAGGTTGCTGTGATCTGTGACGCCACAGCACTCTACCAAGAGTGACAAAGTGAGACTCTGACTCAAAAAAAAAAAAAAGAAAGAAAGAAAAAAAATGATTAACAGGACTAGGCGCAGTGGCTCATGCCTATAATCCTAGCACCGTGGGAGGCCAAGGTAGGGGGACTGCCTGAGCTCACAGGTTCAAGACCAGTCTGACCCAGAGCGAGACCTCATCTCTAAAAACAGCCAAGCATTGTGGCAGTACCTGTAGTCCCAGGTACTCGGGAGGTTGAGGCAAGAGAATTGCATGAGCCCCGGAGTTTGAGGTTGTTATGAGCTAGGATGCCATAGCACTCTACTGAGGGCAACAAAGTAAGACTCTGTCGCAAAAAAAAAAAAAAAGATTAACAAATGTTATCAGTCCAATACATCACTAGACTGTTAGAACTGACTTCAGCCAGGCCTGGGTATTTCATTGCCCTGTGCCCTATAGGAGACGCAGCAAGAGCACAGGGTGAAAGATGCATGGGGGTAGGAATCATTGCTCCTGGGCTTTGAGGCCTTGAAAGCCAGGAAACAGACTTACCTCTTCCTCTTCTTCTGAACCACTTTCTTCACTATCAGATCTTGGTGCAACTTCATACCTAGAAAAAATATTAGGAGTTTAAAATAAATGTGCTCAGAATCAGCAGGACTCACTTTCCCTAGCAAACCAGCCTGAAATCCAAATGCAAATAAAATCACACCCAGTTGCTAATTCCCAGGACCAAGGCCCACCGCCTACTCAAGATCCCAGCTGCATCTGCACATGAGGCCCAACTCACCCCGGGTTCATCTCAAGCCAAGCCTCCAGTTGCCCTGCTTTCGGAGCATCTGTGCCTGTCAGGATCTTGCCACTCTCCACGTGGATCACCTTCACGGGGAGGTCGCTCATCTGGCTGGTCTCATCCAGAGGCTGCAAAAAGTCACCCACGTGACTTGAGATTCTGGGACCTCCATACCCCAGGAACCCAGAGTGCAAGAGAACTAATTGTTGCCAACTTGGGAAGTGTCCACCCAACTCCACACCCAGAAAATGGCACATAAACACGGCCAGTGGTGGTAAAAATGGAAGAACTATATATTCAATAAATAATTCAATAAAAACATGTAACTCAACAGTCCTGGCCACATGACAGTTCTTTCTTCAAGGTAAATGACCTATAAATTTTATTTTATTTTAATTACTTTTTTGAGACAGAATCTTACTTTGTCACCCTCACACCCTCAGTAGTGTCCTAGCATATTACCTGACAGCAACCTCAAACTCTGGGGCTTAATTGATCCTCCAGCCTCAGCCTACTGAGTACCTGGGACATCCAGCTACTTTTAGAGATGGGGACTTGCTCTGACTCAGGCTGCTCTCAAACTCCTGAGTTCAGGCAATCCACCTGCCTCAGCCTCCCAATTGCTGGGATTAAAGGTGTGAGTCACCATATCCAGCCTGACTTATAAATTTTAATTTTCAGGCTCTGCGCCTGTGGCTCAAGCGGGTGGGGCACCAGCCACATACACCTAAGGTGGCGGGTTCGAATCCAGCTCGGACCGGCCAAACAATGATGGCTGCAACCAAAAAATGGCCGGGCGCTGTGGCGGGCACCTGTGGTCCCAGCTACTTGGGAGGCTGAGGCAGGAGACTCGCTTGAGCCCAGGAGTTGGAGGTTGCTGTGAGCAGTGAAGCCATGGCACTCTACCAGGGGCTCAGCTTGAGGCTCTGTCTCAAAAAAAAAAAATTTAATTTTCAAATAGGCTAAACATAACATTAAGGCGCTCTCTCTACCCTTGTGCCTCATTCTGACAGTTTCTCTCTTCACCGGCATCTATTGGTATTCATTTCTTGTATACCCTTCTTATTCAATTCCACACAGAAGAAAAAGGGCTTTTATATCATTTTAATTTCTTCCCACTTTTTTACGTACACTACTATTCACATTCTTCTGGCTGTTGATTTTTTTCCTCCACTTACTACTGTATTTGTAGACTTCATCAAGGGTCTTTTTTGTTCTGAAAAATTAATTGGAATATTTGAAAAATAAAATAACTTCCTCTTAGCAACAAATATGAAATTTTTTCTGTTGAGATATCAACTTTGGATGAACACCCGCCCCATTGCCTCTTTCTTATTTCCTAGAGAAAATCTTTCTTATTTCTTAGAGAAAACTTCCAAGATAAAGAGGAAGTTCTTGGCTTCCATCTTCCAGGAACTTAGGATACCTACCTCCAAAAATGCTTATTGTCACCACTATTCACACAGTGATGCAGTCTTAAGTCTCCAAAGGTTAAAAGCTCCCTTTCAGAGTAGCACACTGTGGAGGGTGACGGTAACTCCTTGTCCCAACAATGGGCTCTAATAGGCTGCTTAACTAAGAACTTTCAACTCTGCATCCTCCCTGAGACTACCAGGGGAGGGGTTAAAGATGCTGATGACTGCACCTTTTCCCTACGCCCAAAATTCTAAATGAACCATTCTGGGGTAAGGCTTGAGTATCCCTACTTTTTTTGTTTTTGGAGACAGGGTCTATGTTTCACAGGCTGGAGTACAGTGGCTTTTCACAGGCATATTCATAGCTCATGCACCCTTGAGCTTCTAGGCTCAAGCAATCCTCCCACTGTATGAATTTATTCTTGAGTCTTCGAAATGGCCTTAGGCAGAAGTCTTTGCACTGTAGTAAAAATGCCAGCACAAATTCTAAAAAAAATTCAGTATTACATTTTTTTTTTT